GTTAGTGAGGAATCCAAGGCGTACAAGTTATATGGTCCAATTACTCATAAGGTAATTATTAGTCGTGATGTCTTGTTTGATGAGGACAAAACTTGGGATTGGAATAGTAAGGAAAAGGTGTCAATTTCAGTGGATTTGAATGAAGGTGATGAAAGTAGGATTGATTGGCAATTGTAATCCCATGGTGACTCTTTGCCAGATGCTTCCATGGATGATCAAACTGAAAATCAACCACCAAATCTGGAAGAGCCACGTCCAAGAAAAGAACTAGCGTAGATGACAGACTATGTAAGTAGAGATAAATTGTCAAATGACAATACAACTGTGTACTATGCTTTGTTTGCATAATGCAATCCAAAAACTTTTGGTAATGCAGTCAAGAATGAAAATGGAGGATTGCCATGGATGCAAAGATTGATTCCATTAAGAGAAATGACACTTGGGAGTTAATTGATCTTCTACAAGGACAGAAGAGCATTGGTGTTAAATGGGTCTATAAAACAAAGCTAAATGAGAAGGGAGAGTTTGATAAATATAAAGCGCGACTAGTGGCTATAGGATACAAGCAAGAGTATGGGGTTGACTATCAAGAGGTCTTTGCTCCTATAGCAAGGTGATAAGTCCATAAATTTACACATTTATGTACTCTTTGTACTTAGTTTTTGTGGGAGAATTTGATTAAAAAGGAAATACAACTTTTTGGTGGAGTTTTTGTACAAGATCAGTTGGAGATGAAAGCTAAGATCTTGAAGATGATCGTGGAATTTTTCTAAAATTTTCGGAGCAACCAATGAGAGTTGTTTGCACTAAATCTAAACAGATAGAAATAAGGCTAACTTACAGGTGACGTGGAAGGTTTGGACCTGAGAAGCCTTCGGTCCGTGGTGTCTTCCCTCAAGGTGCAACACTGGATTCGGCTTGGAGAAAGAAACAGCATGTGAAGCCGAAGGCACCGATGGGGTGCCGGCCGAAGATCCTCCGATGCCAAAGTTAGTGACTAAGAGCAATTCTATTGACAGTGTGAAAGTACAAGTCAAGTAAACAGTCTCTCCTCTTGGCTGGGCCAAGGGGCTCTATTTATAGAGAGCTTTGGTAATGCTCTTAGTACTCAGTTTCGATGTGGGACTCGTGGGAGTGTCTTCGGCGGTCGACACGTGCCCTGACAAGTTCTGGCGGGAGTTCCGAGGTGATCTGTCAGAATCGGTTGAGTGTGCTGACTGGTCCCTTGGCATACGCTACCGAAGGTTTGCGGGGGTGTAGGTTGTAGGCACTTTTACCGATTTGACCTCGTAAGAACCGGCAGAGTGTGCCGATCGATCCTTCGGCATAACTCATCAAGCTGGTATGACAGGTTTGCATTCCACATGTCATGACGTGAGTGGGGGGGGTCAGATATGGTACAAACAAGAGCAGTCATTGAAGTTAGGTCAGCATAAGGTGCAATCCCGTTAGATTTGAGTTACTGTGTGAAAAAGGAAATTTGAAGGTCTTCCCAATTTTTCCTTAAGGCGTGCAATATATGGTTAGAAAAATAAGACGAAGATCTAAAATTTACAGAAGGAACGACCTAAAACGTGCATGCAAATTAACTAACGTGTGATCCCAGTCAAAGTAGGAAGAGGAGTCAATTGCTTACTCATTTTGGATTTATGTTTTAAATAGGTTTTTCTTTATTTTTGGGCTGCTGTAAAAGCCCAGCTAGGGTAGAAATAAACGTGTGGTGTTTTATTTAAGCATGAGAAACAACTCCTTTGGGGACGAAAAGACTTGGAGAAATTGGAGACACCGGAAGAGTACCGCAAGTGGCTAACTTTTATTGTTTCTTCCTTATGTTTTTGCTTATGCCGAATTCTATGATTATGAATTTTCTTTTATTAGGGCATGATGTAGCCTTAGTATGATAATCTAGTTTTCTTATTTTACCTATCTATTGACTACCGTTTGATGTTGGATTCTTAATCACTGTGCTTAATAACTTGGTTGATTATCTTGATGCTTGATCACCATCTAGACTTTTAATTGAGTTAATCTTATGTAAATTATAGTAATACCATACGTAATTTGAGGCTTGCTTCTTGTGATTAAGATTTGTAATTCGTCGAGGGTAAATACCATACTCCTATGGTTTACATGCTTGTTAGAGGTTTTCACTGATCTTAATGATTTTTTATGTGTTGATATTTGACTTAAATACGATAGGTGAATTGCATGTAGGAATATACGAGTTAGCCAAAATACCATAGGTAATTCATGAAAAAGGAAAATGAAGCGGCAACATCAAATGGTTAGTTAATATGTAGGTGAATAAGAGGTTAGATCGGATTACTAGTGGTGAATTAATTGTCCTAGTGATTTTATCAATTTGAACTTCTCTTATTTTTGTTTCGTGACTTTCTACTTGTTTTGTCTTTTAATTTCATTGTTTTAGTTAATTAAATCATTCTTTCAAAAACCCCTTTTGTGTTTACGTGAGTATGCTACGTGTTTAATTTCTTATTAATATAATTAGAGTAGGTAAAGTATTTTGTGAAGTAAATTAGGTTAGACTAATTGGAAGTTGAACTCAATTCTCGTGGGACTGACCTCGTATTTGCCATAGTAAATTACAATTGACCTTGTGCACTTGCGAGTATAATTAGTTTGTGTTTAGACTAATCTTTATAATCTTCATTTTGCAGGTTGTTTAAAATTCACAACACAAGGCACGACACCATTTGTTTGGTTGTGTCTTTGGCAGCACGAAAGGCTTGGCCCATTTTCAACTTGATGTAAAGTCAGCCTTTCTACATAGTGACCTAAAAGGACACATTTTTGTTGATCAGCCCCTGGGTTACGTACAAAAGGGAAATGAGAGTAAGGTTTATAGGTTGAAAAAGGCTCTATATGGACTGAAACAAGCACCTCGGGCTTGGTACAGTCGTATAGATGCATACTTCACAAAGGTGGGTTTTCACAAGTGTCCCTATGAACACGCTATATTTATCAAATCTAGAGGAGGTAAAATTTTGATTGTTTGCTTGTATGTAGATGATTTGATCTTTACTGGAAATGATGAAACTATGTTTGCTGAGTTTAAAAAAACTATGATGGATGAATTTGATATGACTGATCGAGGAAAGATGCGCTACTTTCTTGGTATTGAAGTGGTGCAATCTTTTGCTGGAAATTTTATTGGACAAAAGAAGTATGTGCAATAGATTCTTGAAAGATTTTGAATGGTGGGTTGCAATCCAGTCAAGAATCCAATTATACCAGGAGAAAAGCTCACAATTGATCTTGAAGGAAAGAGGGTTGACAATACTTTTTATAAACAAATCATTGGAAGTTTAATGTATTTGTTAGCTACTCGACCAGATATAATGTATGTTGTGAGTCTACTTAGCAGGTTTATGGAAAGACCAAGTTAACTTCATTTTGCTACTACAAAGAGGGTACTTCGTTACTTGCAAGGTACAAACTGATTTTGGCTTGTTCTATAAAAGGAGTGAAAATTCAGATTTGATTGGGTTTAGTGATAGTGATTATGCTAGAGATTTAAAAGACAGGAAGAGCACATCAAGTCATGTTTTTATGTTGAGTTCAGAAGCTATTTCATGGTCTTCAAAGAAATAGCAGGTTGTCTCTTTGTCTACAACAGAAGCTGAGTTCATAGCTACTGCATCTTGTGCATGTCAGGATGTTTGGTTGAGAAGAATTCTTGAAGAGTTACAATACTGTCAGCAAGGTCCTACACATATTTTTTGTGATAATAGTTCGACTATTAAACTATCCAAAATCCAGTGCTCCATGGAAGGAGCAAACATATTGATGCGAGGTTTCACTTTCTTCGAGATCTTACCAAGGAAGTTGTTGAGCTTGTCTATTGTCTAAGTGAGGATCAAGTTGCAAACATTTTAACCAAACCACTCAAGATAGATGCCTTTGTGAAGTTACGGGAGTAACTTGAAGTTTATTCGAGATCTTCTGTAAATTGAATGCTTGAATAGCATTCAGTTTAAGGGAGGGAATTTTAGGATTTTCTGGTTTCAATAATCTCTATTGTTTAGGTACTTGATTGTTGGTTGACCTATTTCTTTGGGGAATCCCACTAGTCTAGGAGTTGTTAAACAAGGGACTATGTTTCCTTTTTTTTTTTGGTTCTTTTTTTTTTCATGTTAGTTTGTTTCTTGTTAGCTCTATTTAAACAGACCTTTTGAGTCTCTGAATGATATGTACAATTTTTCCACGAACTTTCTTGTTCCCAGATAGCTTTATAGAGTTCAGTTCTCAATATTGGGATGGTGGTCGGGGACACTGAGCTGGGGGTGGGCCTTTTTTGGGCTTGGTTTCATCATTCTTGTTTGTTTTACTTTAATATATATTTGATTTTAAAGATAATGGTATTTTGTTTTCAATTTTTGGGGCATGGGGAGGTTTTATGTTACTTTTAAAAAAAATATTATATTATATATTTGATGTTAAATTTGTAATTAATTATTTAAAAAAATTTCTAGTCCACGTGGCATAATACGTGTGTCTATGTGGAGTCTATGTAGACTCATTGGCTGTCATGCCGATGTTTTTACAGAGGGATTGACGAAAGCACTAACTAACGTAATAAATTGGTATGAAAATAAACATTATGTATGTGACTGGGACCAAAAAAATTTGATATATCGAATTCTAAAAATTGGTAAACTTTATCGTAGTAAAGTGAAAATGACCCCCTTTCATTTCTTATTACAAAACCAACCCCATTGTGATCGAGCTGCTTACTAGTAAACTGTAAACGCACCAATGGTAACTATTGTGATATTTACCAACTTACCGTTACATCATTACCAGCAGGTGGAAAGCCAGAGACCAAAGCCAAGAAAACCGTTACAATGCTTATTAGAGCGTGGGGTTAAGGAAAAGACACAATACTCCTCTGGTCTGCAAGACCAAAATGCATTCTCTCTCTCTCTCTCTCTCTCTCTCTATAAAATAACTCTTCTTTACTCATTCTGACATGCCATTTCAAACTCCATCACCAAAACTCCACCAAACCTAGAGACCACATGATGTGCTCCAACTTCTTCCTTCTCTTTTTAGCAGCTTCTCTCATTTTCTTGCCTCATCAGTCCTTCTTCACCATTTGCAGAGCAGTACTCGATCAGCCTAATGATGAAGTTGGTAAGCTCTTAGTCTCTCTCTTCCACCTCTGTTTTCTTTCTTTTCTATTGCATGTTGTGATGAAAGATCACATTGTCCAGGGTGTGTGTGGCAATGATTTTGCAGATATTTGTTCTGTTGGGTTTTGTTTTCTGATATTGTACACTGTTTTTAATTCTTTGCTTTCCACATTTGTTCATCCAAGCACACATGGAAACATCCATAAAATCTTTTTGAAGTTTATTTGATGAGTAACTCTGGGAAATATAAATACAAATTATCTCTGTACTACTGTGAGCAGCTTACCAATTCCTTGGCAACATTGCCACTCTCTCTCTCTCTCTTTCTCTCTCTACACACACACACAGAGACATAATATATTGGCTAATGCTGAAATGGCAGCTCCATTTTTCTCAAAACCTTTTGTTCTGTGATTCATAATTGAATCATATCAGAAATCAAGCCAAACACTTTGAAATTGAAGTATCATCTTTTTATCAGAAAAGATATAAAGGTTCTTTTTTTTTGGGGGGGTTCACATTCTATGGGTCAATCAGGTAATGAGATCACAAGAAGTCATTTTGATACTGTTTCTTGCATTAACTGGATCTTCAATATTGTTGAAAATCACCCATCTGTTGTTATTGTTTCTATTATGACAACCTTTTTGGTGTTTATGATATAGCCTTGTGTTGTTGATATATTGTACATATAAAAAGGTTCAATGCAGCCCCTAGGGCCTAGACTTTTTCTCATTGTTATGGTTCTTTACCCAATGGTAGCTATCTTCCACAAGTCAACAATGCCTCATTTGCATTATTTTAAAATTATGCATGTGGTTAAGATCTAGGTGATTCAAATCTTTAGATACCCATGTCGCAGTTTGAACTTTCTTGTGAAAAGAAGTAGGCTTCTATTTTTATGCATTTGAATTTAGGTAGCATTGTCATGTGATTGAGCACCATATTCCATGCCTCAGTTTTGGACCATATGACATCTTTTTGGTATGCTTGGGAACAAAGAAAGTATTAGCTTCTCCTCTTTCTATTTGTAATAGGTTTGAATCAATCTCAGTTTCCTTCCAACTTTTCGCTTCTTATAATATCAATCTATCTTTTTGGTTTTAATGAACAGCATCCACATCTTTTCTTTGTCTGAGAAAAGAAAAGATGCTCTCTCTCTCTCTCTCTCTCTCTCTCTCTCTCTCTCTCACACACACACACACACACACACACACACAAAGAGACTGTGAATATGGGCAGTACTTTGAGACTTTGGTTATCCCATGAAAAGTGGAATATTTTAGTTTTTGACACAGTTGGGAAGTGGTTTAAGATAAGGAAAAATTATTCTAATTCTTGCCTTTGAGCATTAACATATACCTTGTGATGTTACTAATCATATTTTTTTTATATATACTTTGGTGTTGGGTTGGGGAATATGAGCAGGTAATGAAACCAAATTTACTTATATTGAAGGAACTGGTAAAGGACCAAAGAAATGGGGCCAGATTGACCCACATTGGAAAGTCTGTGATAATGGAAAATTGCAGTCTCCAATTGATCTTCTTGACCAAAGGGTGCAGGTTTTCCCTAACTTGGGGAAATTGAAAAGGGACTACAAACCAGCTCCTGCTACTGTGAAGAACAGAGGACATGACATTACGGTGCGCTATGCCTGAGTGTCTACTCTTCTATTCTCTTCCATAGTCTCAATGACTAGAAGTTCAATCCAATTAATTGAATATATTTGTAGCTGATCATTTTTAGTTGTATTCAAAATGAAATTTTATCAGGTGAGGTGGAAGGGAGATGCGGGAAAAATTAACATAAATGGGACTGACTTTGGATTGCTACAATGTCATTGGCATTCACCCTCAGAACACACATTTAATGGATCCAGGTTTCTTATTTTGGTTTCTCTCTCTTCTTTTTTTCTTTTTATCTGATGTGAACAATTGTTACAAGTACCATGCTAATTCATATAATTACAGTATACTGAACAATTGTTTTTGTTTTCATTCAACCGCTTCTAATGTCTGTCATCATCTTTCTTCCTCTCATCTTCTTTACAGATATGCTTTGGAACTTCATGTCATTCATTTAAGCTCTACTCATAAGATTGCTGTTATTGGAATTGTGTACAAATATGGCCGGCCTGATCCCTTCCTTTCGAAGGTATTTCTGTTAGCCGCTAAACATTCATAAATTTGAATGCACATGATGGATTCATGCATAATAAATTGATTGTAACATTCCCTGTATTCTTCATGTAACTTCCATTTCTTTGCTGCACAATTGGTTGAAATGATTTAACAATCACATGGTTTTTTTCTCATATATGAGAACTTCCAACTTTTCTCATGAAATGATAACACATAAGGGCTGTACACTTTGACATTTTAGCAGCTGAATTGTTTCATATTTCAGATTTTGTGTTCTTACTTTATTTATTTATGTATTTTAAATTATTCCATTGTGGCAGCTGCTCCACCACGTAAAATCAGTTGGGACAAAAGAGGTTGACATAGGGATGATTAATTCTGGAGACATTAAGTTTGGAAGCAGAAAGTATTACAGATACATTGGTTCTCTTACAGTTCCTCCCTGCACTGAGGGTGTAATTTGGACAATAGTCAAAAAGGTCTTTCACTAAAACATCTGTTGGTTCTCTTAAATTTGAATCTTTTACACCAAAGATGCACTTATGAACATGTTAGTTTTCTTTTTATAGGTGAGGACAGTTTCGAGGGAGCAAGTTCGAGCGCTAAGGGAGGCCGTTCACGATGTAAGTTTTTCTTCTTTTTCTTTTGTTTTTTGGTGATCCACAACAAAAGCATATGTCATCTTCAATCCGTTGGTTTCATCTTCAATCTGAAGTTAAAATTCAATGTTTGTGTTTGTGGCTTTCAGGGATTTGAGGCAAATGCCAGACCAACTCAGCAATTGGATGGAAGACCAGTGTTGTTATACACTCCAAGAGACAATTGAGGATCAGCTTAGGTCTATAAAAATTGAAGAGAGATGTGTTTATAACTTACAACCACATGTTGGAACATGTCCCAATTTCTTGGGTGCTTCATGATAAATAAAAATTAATCATATACATTTATGCACATTTTCAACCTTGAAATGCGTCTTCCACACATGATTATGAAAGTTCAAAAACAGATTTTGACAGGGTCAAGTAATAGCCGTTAAATCAAAATCAGATTAATCACACAAACAAATTGGTGAATCACGCCTTCTTTCTTTTTTTTCATGTCCTTCAAATTCCCTCACGACCCAACTCCTTCAAACAACACTCAATTCTTCCCCAACATCTTTACCTACTCACCCATTATATTGATCCCCAATTGGAAAATGACACAGAGAAAACAAATGACAGCGTCAACCCGACCCCGACAGCCACCCACTTCATAATTGCGTTTATGGGTTTTCTAACAATTAAATATTATTTTAATTTTATTCGAATGATACCGTTAAATATATTGGCAATATAATATTTCAATAGCGAAGCTTGTTGGTGCAGTGGTAAATGTGGTAAATGGTTGAGTTTGTGAGTTCGAGGTCTGGGGTTCAAAACTTCACCACTGTTTGTTGGTGCAGTGATGAATCCTATGCTGCTGTTTGTCTGCTTGTCCGCCACTTGTTGAGCTGCTGTGAAGTTGCCGTTAAGTTTTTATTTTTTTGGGTATTCTAAATGTAACTTAAATCAACGATCTAAATTAATTTAAGTTATTTTAACTGTAACAAAAAAATATATATATATATATATTCAACGGCTAAAATTTAAATTCAACGGTCAAAATAATATTTTAAATTAATCTAGATTATATCCAACCCCAAAACTCACTTCAAACTCTATAAATACCCATTCATTTCTCAAATAATCTACCAAAAACATTTTATCTATTTCTCAGTTTATTTTTCATTTGCCAATCTCATCAATCTCCTTTCATTCTTGTTGAAGATGTCTACAATATCTCAAAGAGGTGTGAATTGGAGGCCCGAAGAAGATGAGGCATTGTGCAAAGGGTGGGTTTCTGTCAATGAAGATGGGGCTATTGGTACCAATCAAGCAAGCAACACATTTTGGAAACGTGTATATCAAAAGTTTCTGGAAAATGATCCAGGCATTAGTGGACCCGAGCGATGAACATATCAAGCCATTGCTTCTCGGTTCAAGACTATCAACCAACAGTGTTATCTTTGGAAGACATTCTTGACTAAGGCCAATACAAACCCACAAAGTGGTTCAAATCTACATGATGTGGTAAGTAACCATTCTTATTAAAGCTTTAAATTTATATTTGTAATTTTATTAAACTCCAAACTTAAATTTATTTTTTCATGCGTAGGACATGTATGCGAAAATGATCTTTTTTAATGATAATAAGCCTCCAAATAGTCCTTTCAAGTTGTACCATACTTGGGAAATCTTAAAAGATTGCCCAAAGTCGAACGATATAAATGAGCCTCACACACAACGTTCTTCTGGAGCTAGTGCAAGTATGGTGAATTTGGATAACGACGAAATAAATAAATAAATAAAATAAAATAAAATAAAAGGGAAGATGGCTAACCCTTCTAAACAAACAAGGGATAAGTACTTGGAATCATTGGTTAAGCAATGTATTGCTTTCGAGGAGGATAAGGGACGAAAGCTCATCATATTTGACAAGTTTGTCCAAGATCAAGTTGATGCTTATGCATATTAGAAGCAACAAGATAAGGAAGCCCAAGAACAAAAAAATAATGTCCATGGACGTGTCCAAATTTACTCCAAGAAAGAAGAAGTATTATGGGGATAAACAAGATGAAATTATGCAAGAACATGTACAGGGTCAACAGTCTACCGTTAATCCTAAAGACAACTCAGGGGACTATTATCCAAGCCCCCACAATGGTAGTTATTAGTTTATTCCTATTGGGTTTCATGTATGGTGAATTTGAAGTATTATGTGTTTTCTTTTAGAATTATGTTGTGTGTTTTCTTTTGGAATAAAATTATATTTGTGGAATTTCAAATTTTTTAAGTCAAATTGTTCAAAAAAATGTAATTATGAAGTTATTTAAAAAGATTGACTGAAGAAAAGTTATCCATAAAAAATAAAAATAAAAATTATACTTATACTATTCTTAAACAATTTAATAAAGTTGCGGACTTAAAATTTGAGTCCAAAGGGTTGGGAGAAAAAAGTATTTGAGTCCAAGCAAAACCCAAATAGTTACTTTTTGGAAGGGGAAAATTTGGGTTTAGCCCTAAGTGGGTTGGAGAAGGCCTAAGAGAGTGGGAAACGAAAAGGATGGTTTAGGCATTTTATTTTATTCATTTGGAAACCTCTTATTGTGAACAATAATACCAAACATAATACCAACTTGTCCAACCTATTAATCTGGTACTGTTACCAAACGTTCAACAACGACAAACATAATACGGTAGATTACAATTCAGTCCAGTCCAATACACAATGATTGAAATAGTAGACCCTTCCAGGGTGCCGAATTTTGATGCTCTTTTTGGGAGGTCAGCTTAAATAGGGGTGGAACGGTGGATGATGGGTGAAGGTGAGGACCTTCAGCATGTGTGTGGAGATTTGGGCAAGCAATAAATATAAAGAAGACGAGATATATGTGGTTCACCCTTAAAAAATGGGCTACATCCACGGATAAGTATGTTCTCATTATAATAATGTATGATTATATTTGTGCATGAGGTTGGACTCAAATATAAAGATAAGAAGAGGGAAGCCCATGATTAAAGATAAAGCCCAGCCCAGGGATCCCGAAGAGAGAGCCCAAGACCCAAGGGTCTAGATCCAAAACCCTTTTCTAAGTGGAGAGCAGTCTTCTTTTATAGGTGAGGGGGAGTCTCCATCTCTTGTAGTTTTCCAATGTGGGACTCATTGCCTTGCTTAGAGTTGTAACTTGTGGTAATGTTTTTTTGGCTAAGGCACCTCTCAAAGCATGGCACGTAGATGATCTAGCCAAGCTAGTTGCTCGGTCAGTTTCGGTACCAACACCGAACAAACCTTAAATCATGCAAACTGGCCAGCACAACATTCTCCATCTGTGATCAGATAAAGATACAAACTTAAAGTTTTGCGGACCTAGTTAAAATGCTATGCTAGGGTATCCTTTTCCCTTCTGGCATGGTAGTTCAAAGTCTAGATTTTCTGTACATCAGAAGCACAACCAAAAAAAAGGACCTAAAAGAAATAAGCTATGAGAGAATATCATAGTAAAAAAAGTTTTATCAGTTGCTTGATACATGATATAGGTTTTTCTTTCTTTCCCCATGGCTATAGACCACGATCAAGGGGTAATCCCTGCCACCATTTACCAAGTTTCTTCTCCCCAAATCCCTCTAACCCAACCCAACCTTCTTCCTTGCGTTTCTCCTCAAATTTTCTTTGACTTGTCTCAATGCCCACTGAACCATCAACCATGTGCTGAAGTCTAAACTAAACCCATCAACATTGTAGAAAGAACTGAAACCAGCAACTAAACATCCAACACTAACACTAGTGTTCCTCTCTTTTGCCATTCCAAATCCTTATGAGCCCATCTACACTTTAAGCACTACTCTACGCTCTTCTACTACATACCGTCTACATTTCCACATTTCAACTTATAAGGTTTAGGGTTTCAACTTATAGGCCTTCCTAGGCAGATCATCCAGCCTAAGCAAGACGCCCAGCTAAGACACTCTACTTCATGTTGACATTACACTTGAGGCTAAGTTGACATATTGAAATCGTTTCACATATACACAACTGCAGCAAAGAAAAACAAAAGCATCTGCACAAAAACTACACGTAGAAGATCCACTACAATGCATGTAGGAAGACTGTCACTCGTTTTTGCGCTGACATCCAATGGTCACTCAATACAAAAGCAATGTTATTTCAAGCCTCAAACCCTAAACACTTATAACCCAAAATCGTGACAATCGTGACTAAGAACATGCAATTATGGGTTAAGCCTACTAATGAAAGATGCCCAAGACCTCTAGGATGTGATACATTATTGTTTTACTGGACTGCCCAAAATAGGCATATAATTCATCATAATTCCATTGAATGAATTGGCTCACTCAAACAATATCCAAGTAAAAAACAATTCCACCAAATTAGAACCAAGAAATAATTGATGCATATATATAAGCAGAAAGTAATTTCATCGCATAAAAAACAAAGCCGAGAAAATCTCTAGGGCTTTAAGCTTAATTAAAGGGACAATGAGCATATGTGAAGCTTTAGCATGTGGTTTCGAGAAGCTAATTTTATAGTTGATGTTCTTGCTCCTTTTTACCACTCATGACATGTTTACTAATTCGTAATTGGATTAGGAAGAATTAAATTGATGATGAATTGAATTGAGGACGAGTTGGATTGGGGATAATTAGATTTCAGATTTTTATTGAAGTTGTTTACTAAACCATATGGAATTGGGGTAGAAGTTGTGCTAATTACTAAAATGTCCTCATTGTTGGGTTAAAGTAGATGGCACATTTGAAATTTTGAAAATTGTGTGAGGATATAATGGGTAAAAAAGATGAATTCCTAATAAGTTAGTTCTCCAGGAATTAGAATACCATCTCCCACCCAAGAATTGAATTCCTCTAAAATCAGGAATTTAATTCCTAATTTTGTGTGGATCCCACTTACTTTTCAATTTCTTGATTTGAAGTAAATGCAAAAATCCTCCATATGTGGAATTCAATTCCTGATTAATAAACACACCATCAATTCATTAATTTTATTGTTGGGCTTCAAGTGGAGGAGAATTTTTTTATGCATCATAATATGTGATGTTCATCAAATGTGGTATATAAATGTGATCTCTTTGCAAATGGTATTTGTGATTTCAATATACTGTTAATCAAATTTTTTTTTTTTTTAAAAGAAGGTTCGACAACACATACAAATTGTCCACGCGGTGTTCCAAATTGTCCAGAGTTGTTCTCCGTTGTTTGGAACTAGGCCTAAATATACCAGAGTCTGGTAAATTGCCTTATAAGAGAGTGAGATGCTTTTCTTTTTCATTTGAAAACAACCTCTTACCTTGTACAATACCAAACACAGTACAAAATGTCCAACCTCTTAATCCGGCACAGTACAAAACATTCAACAATAATAAGAAAAATACGATAGATTACTATTCAGTACAATCCAATACATAATGATTGGAATAGTAGACACGTCCAGCATGCCGAAACTACCTTAAAACTTATAAAGGCCAGCATGGCATCCTCATTCTGTAATCAGATAAGGATACAAAAATGCTAGTGTCTCCTTTTCCTTTCTGGCCTGGTAGTTCAAATTCTAGGTTTTTCTGGACATCAGAAGCACAACTAAGGACCTAAATGACATAAGCTCTGGGTGAATATCATAGTAAACAAGTATTATCAGTTGCTTGATACATGATATAGGCTTTTCTTTCTTTCCCCATGGCTATAGACGTTGAGCTATTCCACGATTAACAAGTTATTTTTCATTAATCCTTCACCAACTGTAGGAAATTCTGGTGACAGCTTCCATTCTCCATCCACCAAGAACTTGATTTCATACCTTCAAATATAATATTTTTGGGTAAGGATGAAGAAAGGGAGGAAGAATAGGAATAGTTGAGTGACTAGGTACCTTCCAGGTCTGAGCATTAATGTTGTCGAGAACGCGGTGAAAGAACCAGTATACTCCGATGATAAATGTTCTCCTTGACTCCAACCATCGAAAGTGCCCATAACTTGCACACTCTGTGACACCAAAATAATAACAAATTTTGTTTTAAATTCGATGCCTAAATACCTAATCTATAGAACCAAAACTTTAAAATTTCATTCAAGGGCTGTAATTTTCTGCTTTTGCAATTTTATGTCAGCCTAACAAGGACTAGAACTTGGCACCAGTAGTATCATTGAAGACATAACAGGTATTTTGTAGTACAATTATTATATTTATCAGGTCCCCTTAAAACTTGAAAACTCAGAAGATCTTATCGGGTTGGATTAATCAGTGAAACCTACTTAAGCCGACACCCCCATGTCCTTCCTTATCAGCGTCGACCAGATTCATCACAGCCTCCACACGAGAAAACAAACTTCATAACCAATACCATGTTCAACAGTTGTCTTACACCCACCAGAAGCCAGGGCTCAAGATCAGCCACAACAACATCCAGGTCGTCGATGAATATCCTTCAAACATTAGCACTGTCGTGCCACCTTACAGGTTAGACCCTCAGAAAACGACTAGTTCTATCCATATGGAATGGACCAATTGCAGTTGAAAACAAATTTATAAGCACACATAAATTATTTTTTTCGGTGCCTATGGCAGTTCAGGAATTGAAATGACTTTAGGATAGAATGTATAGAGTGCAGTCAAGGACTCAATTGGAAAACTCTAGACTAGAGGAAGAAGCTGGTCAGCGCCACCGGTAAACAGTAGGCATGGCATGGTCCTGCCTGCCGGAGCTGTCCCTTGCCAGAAACAAAAATAAGAATACTTTTAAATTATTAAAGGGAGCAGATTATTATTATTATTATTATTTATGTGTGGTGTCATATGCCTGTTAGTAGGTGATCATGATCCTTTGAAATGTTTTCCAATGGTGTTATACTTCTAAAACTTCTCTATATAGGGGGCCAAACTCGCTTTTTGAGGTAACAAATTACATGGACCAGAGAGAGCTCCAACACTTTATACTGAATCTCCAAACCTCCTTCCCGAATTTTCCATCCTCAAGTGATTACAATAAAGGGTTGAACACAGCTTAGAGACGTCTGTCTTCATCATACGTCCTTCTGCTTTCCAATGAAGTGACCCATATGATCATATTTCAGAAAGTCACTCACTATTACCACACTCCATAATTTCAAGTTATTTTCATAAAGGGTTGAACACAGCTTAGAGCCATCTTCCTTATGCATCAACCCTTTTGCTTTGCAATGAAGTGACCCATATGATCATATTTCAAAAAGTCACGCACCATTACTGCACTCCATAATTTGAGGAAAAGGATTGAAAATTATAAGGTTATATGCTTACCTCAGCCATGCCATACCAAAATAAGGGAACCTCCTTGGATTGTACAGCATCGACATCCTTTATCTGTTCCTTCAACTTTTCATGTACAGCTTCACACAGATACACACGTGCAACAGTACTTTTGTCAGAACATATGGAAAGTAAACAAACATGGAAACAGTGACATGAAAGCATTACAATTCAAAACAATTCAATATCAGTTGGGAAACCACATTTCTGAAACAAGAAAGACGACTACTCACCCATAATACATCGCCAAAGTCTAATTCTATCCCAATTCCCAACACAAATTTCAGAAGATGAGAAAATAAGGAGTAACCCACATGTTTTAAGGGATATCAGAAACAATCTCTCTCAACTCAAGAATCCCATCCATTTGCACAAAAACCGTACTTACTCCAAATAACTGATGCCAAGAAAGAGTTTTACTCAAGGGCCCCATTTGGTTCACGGAACATATTTGATGGAAAATCATTTCCCATGTCATTTCTCAAGGGATGGGAAATGGTGATTCCTTTCCCATGTTTGGTAATGCCGGAAAAGTAACCTGGAAATATCACTTTATTTCCTTTCCCATGTTTGTTTTGAGTAGGAATGGAAAGTAAATTTTGTTTAGTTTCCCAACTATACCCCTATTAAAAATATGAAAATTCTGTTATGAATTAAAACAAAAACAAAAAGGAATACTAATAGTTGTTGGATAAAACTATAATTATAAATTATTAGTAAGGATAAATTAGTCAGAAAAAAGGTGCATTTAATGCTGGCCTTACTTTCCCATGAGAAGGGAAAGTAAAACCTATGGAGGGAGGATGGCCTCACTTTCCCCCCTACTTTCCCATGTGCCAGACAACGATTTTTCATGCCTAACTTACCAAACATGGGAAAGCAATTGATTTCCCATCTCCAAGCTTTCTTTCCCATTCACCAAACGGGCCAAGGGCCTTACGTTTCTGCTCTAAATCTCAACTATTACAAGTGATCCTTTTCCTGTTTTCACTCCTCTCCGAAGTGGTCTTTGTTCCTATATTATCTTTCTTAGTACTTTTTTATTTGATAATTGTAGTCTATGTATTTTATTTTGATTATTCGGATAAGATGCTCTGAAAATAGATTTAATTTTTAATCAATAAATATGATCTGGGAAAAAACTAGAATTTTTTGATGAGAAAGCGATGTGGATATAAATTAACATCTCAAGGCACCTATTAATGCAATGGCTCAATTTCATTTGTGGAGGAGATGTACCTTAGGAGGACCATCATGCCATAAAAAGAGAGAAAACTATATATTCCTTGTACACAATCCTCTAAGATGCTTTCAAATGCATTTTCTCAGTCAACAGAAGGAGATACAATTTTTAGCAGCAAAAGGAAAGAGAATAAGAAAGAAGGAATAAATAAGTCATGCTTGAGCAAGTTACCTTCTAAACGAGAAAGAAGGTGAGACTGAATGTATTTCCCATTAATCTTTCTTGAACCTTGTGGAATGACAGATTTAGTGTTTTCTTCTGCCAATTTCACCAAAGCCTGCCATTAGAACAACTAAAGGAATCATGACATCACAAGTCTTCAACTATATTCAATCACGTGAACCGTGATGCATGACAACATAGCCTTTAACATGAGTCATTTGATCTAGGATGCATTTAGAGTTTAATTTTCTGCAAATCCTCTACAATGTTTTACAACGAAGATTTTCAGAGAGTCTGAGTTAGTCCTTAAGGGTCTATTTGGTTCTAAAAGAAATTAAAATATAGGAAAGTAACTCCCTATTATTCTTTTGTGATTTTTTTACCAAAAAAGTTGTGGGGGCACAAGGAAAGTCTTCAAACTTTCTCGCAAGTTTCACATCCAGATTTGACAGGAATTACATAGCCATCCAGGACTCAGTAAGCCCTCTGTAAAGTTGGTTTGGGTTCTAGTTGGGATTCAGTTTTGAACTTATCTTTCACTTAGTGGTCAGTTTTTATGTGTTATGTTATTTCCCAGATGACAGTCATGCAAGTTTTCAAGTATTCCTGAAGGTTTAACACTAGATAGCTACTAAAGTAATCAAAGCTAGGGCTGCTGTAGCACTTGTATACATACTTGCTTAAGAGAATTTGTATGCAGTTTTCAGGAAAAGGAATCAGATTGTAGAATTCTCATGGGTCTCGTGCCCTAGGACTTGTTTATCTACATTCCAATTTTGATCCTATTTTTTTGTCTCCTTTTTATGTTGGTTAACTTATCACTGGACATCTTTTTTCTTGTACACTGACTGCTACAGAAACCAGAGAGGAGCTTACACTTGTCTTCTACTATCCAACTCCACTTTAACTGTTAAATGCCTTTTCTCCACCCAAACAAATCCTAAAACCTACAGATTTTCTAAACTTAGCATACAACTTAAGCAACTTTCAAGCCTGTCTAGTATCTCAAAGCAGAGTAGCAGTGAGAGAAGCAATCTGATGCGGATGAGGGACAACTGCCATTCTTGCGCTATGATGGGAATGGTATGAGTAAAGTGGTTGTCGTAGTGGTTAAAGGTTTATGATATAAGGATCCCATTTTTTATGTTTGGACTGCTGAGAGAATACTTCTTACTATGTTAGCAGAATTCAGTCATGATTGCTCTTGAAATTAGGCAATAACAGACATCTAACTAAATGCAATTTGCACAGGATATGATTCCAACAATATATCAAAGTCAAGAGATTCAAGACTGGAATTATTTTATCCTTCCACATGGTGCTTGACCTACAACCATTTTAGTATTACGAAAGGTTTTGTAGAGTGTTAAAGTGACGACACACGGAAGTAAGAATCTTGATCTCTTGAGACTCAGATTACTCACATGTGATTTTAAAATTAAAAAAAAAAAAAAAAAGCTGATCTCTAGGGACTTAAATTACTCACAAGTGATAACATTATGCTCATGCAAGATGTGCAGACAACCACCAGTCGTAAAATATGTAACCTGAATTTCAAGTTCCAAGACAGCAAGTTCACTCTTGAAGTTAACCAACTCATCCTCCTTTATATGCAACTGTAGAGATAATGGATCAACATAAGATGTCAAATCTATTACACTTGATAGAACAATCAAATGAAATAACCATATAACCATCCACGCTCTCTCCAATTAATAGCATCCAAGAATTATAGTTACATGTACATTAATTTTCTTGATACAGTTAAGACAAATGAGATATCATATGAAGAAACTAATTTGGAACAAAAACTCATCAAATATATTTTAAAATTTTTCTCACAAATGATGAAAGAGGTGTGTGCATCTTCATCTTTCAGTATATTCAATTCAACCACCTTCAAGTTAGAAATGAGATTGTGAATACGTGAACCTTTTTATATCTATAAATTTGATATACTCATATGCTAAACAAGCCAACAACTCAATTTTAATATTAATGCTTTCATCTCTCAATTGGACCCACTAAGCATTAATCTACATTCCTGTTGTGTGAGTCTTTACTCTTCAGTCCTATGCTTTTTGCACCAACCGCATGAATTAACATGCCTACTGCTGCTCAAATGCATTCCTAAATGGATATCAATCCAGTCAAATCTATGAAGATATCAACATAGATGGCAACATAAAATGTGGGCCACTGCAATGAAGATGAATTTAAATGACATACTAAAGTAGGAGTCGATTTAGAGGACATTGTATGAATACATTCAAACCTGTCGTTTGAGGAACCGATTTTGTTGATTGGCTTCACTTAGTTTTTTGATAAGCTTTGTTCTTTCAGAATCAGCCAGCAGTGACTTCAACTGATATAGAGTTTTAACATAAGTTAGCTCTTGAGATTTAAAACTGAAGTAGCCAGGAATGCGAAACCAATAGAAAAAGGAAGTTCATGCATTTGGATGCTGTCAATGATTTTTTATTTATTTTTAAATCAAAACAATTTGGACCAGTGCATGAGTACCTCATTACTTCTTAAAGGTTGAGAAAGATGATTCTCCTGCGAATCTTTATGTGCATATTCATCATTTCCACTATAAGTTTCTCCCTGAACAGATGATGATTCCTCCAAACTAGTGTGAATTGAATGTCTTCTCCAGAAGACATGGTTCAGTGAATGCTTCCCAGTAGATACTTGACAATCTATCAACCTCTGATATCCCACCTTTAATTTCCAAGTAGTTACAATATGTGGAAGTGGGTGGATATTTCTCCAATCTAATTTTCTTGAACTTTCTCTTGACAACCACAGTACTTGGTTGTCAAGGCAACACCTGTCGAGATTATAATGATATAAGAATGAAACTGATAAATGCTTAACGACATCAACAATGCCATGAATATGAAAGGCTATGGAGATTTACTATAAGCAATGTTAACTAACTAGATTGACAATGCAAGAGCAAATCATGCAGAACTAAAGTTTTCGATAAGGGTCAAAGCAAATGAACCAGGAAAAAAACAATGTGAGTATAGTGTTTTTTCAACTACTACATGGAGGAATCATCTTAATTTATTTACAAAGGGACAAAATTTTACCTCACAGTACCTATCTCCATGTTGATAGGTTCCTCCTGAAAAATTGATATAACAAAAAGAGGGTCACGATACTAACTTGGTCGTAGAAACATGCTAGAACCTGGGATAACTCAACAATTCTCTTAAATCAACATGATAATTACGAACTTATTTATTTATTTATTAAAGAAACTAAAGGGAGCAACATGGAAAAGGATCTGGTATAATCTCAAATGATCCCTCCACCCCCACCCCAAACACACACACATAACACAGTTACTCCGCCATTAAGCCAAATAGAGCACCGTAATTTATCATAAACAAACCAGAACTTGCAAAAACTCCATCATTGATGATTTACTACAGTGGAGGAACTTTGAACCTCTTTTCATGTACTTCTCTGTCAAAAGGACACAATCACTAGTGATGGTAATTCATGTGCAATAGTTTTAAGTTACTTTAACCGCAAAATCTAATGAAATTAAGCATCACGCTGTAGCAAAGTGAGAATTATGGTTGCAAAAAATCAGCTCAAAGCTCACAGCCCCCAACACCCAACACACACAATACAATTAGAGTTTTCATAAAAATGGTTTCTTTTTGCATGATTTCGGATTACACCCATCAATTGAACAATGGTGTTGAACCATTATTGCATAGCAGAGTGATGAATACATTTTCGTACACGGGTTGCCTCAAATTTGAAGAAAAACAATAACAATACAAATCAACTCAAAAGAAGAAGAAAAAAAAGGATATGAATTGACTTACTGAAAGATTTTGATTAGCAGCTCTGGTTAGCACTTAGGCAGCAAAGATGGTGTGAAGAGACGAGGTGGTTGGAGGAGGAGCTAAATTAATGGAGAAAGAAAGGGGTCAACGAAGGCATTTTTTAACCAATAAACAGAGGCCACATGTATAATTGCCACGTTTACATTGCTATATAAATTGTGGATATGATACGTGGCAAATTGGAGTTTCAGTGTCGTACATGATGGTGCCCAATTTGGTATTTCGAACGAAAATAAAGGCCTAAAATTGAAGCAGTCTTGGCAAGAAAATCAAACTCAGATGAAGCTCTGAGCTTCACTAACCGTGGGCTCTCTTTCTCGTCTTAAGAGAAATTGAAAATCTGACCCGAAAAACAGAAGAGAAATTGAAAATATATATATATAAAAGATCGCCCACCGTGGGGCTCGAACCCACGACCACAAGGTTAAGAGCCTTGCGCTCTACCAACTGAGCTAGACGGGCTTTTTGTTTAGTCAACAGTCCTTTACATTGATAACCGAATTTGTTAAGCAGCTTAATGAAGATTTCAAAGGGGAGGAACAGCGTAGACATTAGGTTATCAATAGGAACGAACGTTGACCAAGCAACAAAGCCCGTCTAGCTCAGTTGGTAGAGCGCAAGGCTCTTAACCTTGTGGTCGTGGGTTCGAGCCCCACGGTGGGCGATAATGCTTTACATTGATTTTTTTCTTTCATCTTTTTTAATTCATTATCGTGTGCTTTGTTTGGTTTGAATCCAAAACAAATTATAAATCCCTTTTGAAAACTTCGTCGCTGTTTCTTGGTTCCAATTCAATCGTTCCTTTGGCTTGCCTTGTAATTTTGTTCTTCCATAAAAATAAAAATCATTGTAATTTCTTGGTGGAGGAGGCAAACTATTAGCTTCCGTTTGAATGGAGGTATTTGAAAGAAAGGATTTCGATCTGACAACAAAGCTATAAATTTGTTAAAAGAATGTAGAAATGAGGCAAACAAATGGATATATAAGTAGGATTTCAATTTGACAACAAAGCTATAAATTTGTTAAAAGAATGTAGAAATGAGGCAAACAAATGGATATATAAGTAGGATTTCAATTTGACAACAAAGCTATAAATTTGTTAAAAGAATGTAGAAATGAAGCAAACAAATTTTTTCAATTTGTTTGCTTCATTTCTCTCTTATTCAAACAATTTAACCTTATAATGTACCCTAGATTTGGAATCGCTCCATCCAAATGGACCCGTAATGCTAATACATACAGGCTCCTGCCTTTTCCTTCCCTCTGTTCTTCGTTTTCTTTTTTCCAGCAAGATTTTGTAGATGATACTTCTTTGTAAATTAATAAACAAAAAATAATTTTAATTTACAAGTACATAAAAAATTGGATACAAGTTACAACATACTTTGAATAAAAGAACATAACTTTAATTATTTATTTTCCCCTTGCAAGTGTGATGTTTTACAGAACTCTACAGCGCCAGGTCTGACATTTCATCGCTTGGGGAGCATAGAGGCAGGACCCCTCATTTTGTGTTATCATGTTAGTAACTATGGATATCAAAAACCAAGGAATTCCCCTAATTCAACGAGAAAGCTCCATTGCAGTACCTGCACAACTCAAAGAAATTAGCAAACCAGTAAATTATAAAAGCAAATCTGTATACAGTAATACAAGTTCGAAAGATTGTCCACATAGACAAACACTGCACAAACAACTTGCAGGCATCCAAGGAAATATACACTAACCTGTTGCTGAACTTTTCAACAGCATCAGAGGCATAAAGAAGGGTTTCATTGGCTTTCTCCAGAACCATATAAAGTTCCTTCCCTCTTGTAACCCGAGCAACAACCCAAGCATTGTTTTTCGCCCGGATGCTAACTTCCAATTCTTTCTCATGACCAGCATTATCTGATTGTGCTCTACTCTTTTCCAAATCAACTTCTTCTCTAAGCTTACTTAAGGCAAGTAAGGAATCCTGCCACAGAACATGAAAAATGAACTTCTTGGACATCAATTCATAAAAGCAATAAATTGACATTAAAATGATGAGATCTAATCTGGTCAGTGACCACTAAGCCTATCTTTTGCAGCAAACACCTGCATTAGGCCAAGCCGCCACAGAGAACACCCAAGGTAAAAGAATGCACTGAGAATGCAACCTAGTCTAGCTGGAGACTTGTGAACATGGCACCAGTCATATAAATAGAAAACTGAAAAAGAACATAATTATAGGCAGCTAAGTTTTCTTCCATAATTCCTTAGCTGCTGCAGGGGAGTATATTTATACAATATTTGATGCAGGTAAACAAGGTGAACATCCTCAACCAAATGACTACGTTTTAACACGTATTGTGCAGAACAAGAGAGCAAGCCAAACTGTGGTGGAATGCTTTACCTTAGTAAGGGTTGTGACCTTTCCTGCTGGAGAAGCCCTGGATACATTTCTGTCTCCGTCCACTAGTAAATATCGATATCCACTAACATGATATGCATTCTCACCAACCCATCCTTTTGATAGTTTCTCTTCAACTTTCAACAGCTTTAGGGATACCTAGAAAATAGTAAATACAAACATAAAATTCAAACGATGTCACTCCAGCTTTCATCTCAAGAAAAATTCTATAATACAACTAATAGCATGAATCAGAATCAATGATTATTGCACCAGTAAAATTCCAAATAATTTATTACAAGAAATTATCGATTAAGTAGACATTTTATTTCATTAGGAATCAATGAGACAACATATGTTGAGGACATGAAAAAGGATATAGAGGATATTAGAAAACTATTTTTTTCCTGCCGATGAATATAAAGGATATGAGTACATTAAACCAAATTAAATCAATAAAAATTTAAATA